CAATGGAATGGTTCACACATAAACATATCCAGGTGTTAGAATGGCCTATTCAAAGTCCAGACCTGAATCTAATCCAGAATCTGTGGAAAGAACTAAAAACTGCTGCTCTCCATCCAGCCTCACTGAGCTCCAGCTGTTTTGCAGGAAGAATGGGTAAAAATTTCAGTCTCTTGATGTGCAAAACTGTTAGAGCCATAACCCGAACAACTGAACGCTGTAATTGCATCAAAAGGTGACACTATAAAGTCTTAACTAAAGGGCGCTGAATAATTTTGCACACTTAATTTTTCTGTTTTTTATTTCTTAAAAAAGTTTAATGTGTCCAATAAATTTCGTTCTACTTCATTCTAAAAACAAATCAAGGCTCAATATATAGGTAAAGCAATCCAATATACTGGTTTAATTTACATGCCAGTACTTTCCGTATGGTTTTAATATAATCTTACCAGCGTATTTCTTATGATCAGTAATGTTATTTAGTTGGATTACTGAAACGAAGCCTTCAGGGAGAAACCCCAGCATTTGGGAGGGACTATTCTAAACGAATAAGTCTTTTTTGGTTCCTATAATCTCTTCTCTGTTTATGGGAAATCATCGGTATTTACTTTTCCCACCTATACTCTCCAAAACGTGTCACTGTTGTGAGCTAAAGGTTTCATAGCATCATGCCAGCTGGAAACACGTCTACACCCCTGAACACCATCCAATAGGATTTGTTTATCAAGCCAAACTAATCGACAGTTATGCAACAATCTGGTTTCTGTTGGAGAATACAACCTCCAATTACCAGCAGCAACAAAGGATGTGGTGTGGGAATGAAAGGTGCAGAGAATCTCACAGGAACCTGTGTTGTGCTGCAGCCAGATTAGATGGTTGGAATCAGGACGTCCTGCTCCTCACACACAACAAGCCGGCTCCTTATCACCACCTGATTTATAATAATAGGACAAGCTGAGACTAAACAACACCTGCGCCACAGCAAACACGCAGCTCTGCTGTTTGCACTGATTGATGTAGACAAAGTGGACCAGCCCTCACTGTTAGCGTTTCATCCAGAACCAGAGCTGTGCTGCTTTAGGCTAACAGAGCTAATAGATTTTATCTTTATTCAGTTAACTGATTTTCTACTATGGAGAGAATAATATTAACCCTGTGAGGTAATTACACAATCATTTATAACAGCCACCATGTTGGCATTAAAAGGCATTTATCTATAGGGAGGAGTTTAGCTGCATCAATAAATGCACTAAATGTATACGACCGTCTTTTGTTCATAATGGCCACTCACAGCGCTCAACGCTAGAGCCACATTCAGGTTAAGTGCCTTGCCCAGGGGCACATTGACGTGACTAGAGGAAAGAGGAAACCAACCAACGTCATTCTGACTGCTCTACCATCTTGGCCAGTAGCGGGGAGGATTGTTTTTCTATTGGTTCATTCTGTGAATGACTTCAAAGAGTAATCAGCTTTCAAAGGAACTGCCTGACTCTAACCTGTAGCAACAACCTAATTAATCGTGAGCAGCAGAGATTTGTTGTACTTTTGTTTTATTTGCCCTTTCCATTGATTTCATGTCATCTGAGACACAGAAACCCCACAACCTTATTGGTCAAAAAGTTCTGGGCTAAATTAGCCAAGCTATCCTCACAGAGCTGCTGAGTAACTCAGCCCTGTCAGCATCAACACAGATACTTCCCTCTACATGCATTTAAAAAAAGTCTGTGACTAGTCATTGTTAAGAAGGTGTGCAACTGTTGAAACTGATAGGAAGGTTTGAGATGGGCCTATAGTTCTGCAGTAGCAGCAAGTCCATGTTTTTTGGGTTTTTTTTTTAAAACAGAGGTCCCTTTCATAATCTCTGTTTTTAAGGCCTAGGGGGAAACAGCTGACAAAAGATTAGATTATTTATTTTTTCACTCTTTCTATGTTCTAGTTTTTTTGGTGAAACTTGGAAGGATAAACTAGACAGCAGTAAGTTGAAGACCTTATGAGTGAAGGCGGGCATACACTGTGCAATATTTTGAATCGTTGCATGCAGCTTTAGCTTAAAGTGTACGACATGGTTTAAAAGTTCACAGCTCATGTTTGTTCTCACACTGTGCGGCTAGATGCTGTGATGCAATCTACCTGCTCACAAGGTATGTCCAAAAACCACCCATCAGACTCAGTGCCAAGAGATGGCGCTGTTCGGACTCGTTAATCTGGAAGAAGAAGAAGAACTCCCTTGTTTGCACATGCGCAGTGCTCGAGGTTCTGGTAAATCTGCTTGTAGACGCTCTTAGTTCTGCTCTAACAGCGGGATTTGTTCACGACAACCTCAAGACGGCCGACTAAATTTTTCAAACATGTTTGACTTTCTCCCGAACTTACGATTCCTGATCGGGAGGTGGTCTTGAGAGGCTGATCGCTCCTCGTTACCTCCTGTACACTATGCACGATCAGACTGAAACTCGGCCAGAAAAAATTCTCACATGACTGGAAAATTCTCCAGCAAAGGTAAAAAAAAATCATACAGTCTATGTCCGGCTTGAAGGAAAGATATAGAGTTTACAAAGAACATTTTGCCTGGCTTGCAGATTTAGCCATGCATTGGGTGGGCTTTAGTGCCAGCGATGTAAATGCTTTCAGACTCTGCACAGGTATTTGCTTTTATTTATGATGCCATGAGAAGTAAAGACATCTCTGTTGCGTTGCCACTTTTCGAAACAGCTCACTGACGAAGTACATCCTGTGGCTGGCATGTTCCAGTAAAAGAAGTGAGTATAGTTACTTACCAGGTCCCTGTGGAGCACCCAATTGGCATGGAGGTAATGGATCCCGTCCAGAATCTGATACAAAAGAGATTTCACCATCCCTCTGGGTAGCTGCATGGGTTTCTTGTTGGCTTTGGAGGCACGGTGGAACTTAATGATGTGCTGCAAAACAAGCAAAGGTTTAATGGTGGAGCCCAACCTCCACCTTTCTCCATGTTTGGATGATTCAAGGATAATATAGGCAACATCTACATGAAGACAAAAAACACCTCTTTGAGCTCAAAGCCAGCTCAGTCAATATTTGCCACCACATGAAATATAATAAATATACCTGAAAATGCTGTCAAATTATGCCAGATCCGTTAGTGACGCAAACAAGCCAGGCGAGAATTGTGCATGGGTACCATTATGTTCTCATTCTTTCAGTGTGGACCATGTGTGCCTGTCTAAAGGTAAACACGTGCCTGGGCCAAACAAAGCAAGCATCTCGGATAAAGTTTCGCCTACAAACTCCCAAAATGCCAGCTTCGTCTTGATGATACATGGGTTTGCTGTAGTACTTTCGTCATTAAGCCTAAGCTTGTCTTTGTGTGGATAGGACCTTACAGACAAAAACAGAGTAACACAAGGAAAGGGTAACAAAGAAAATGTTTTAAGAGATCTTGACCCATCACTTCTGTCACCTTTTCCTTTTAGTATGAACCATCTGGGCGCGACAGTGGTGTCGGGTGCAAGAGTTTGCCCTGCAATCGGAGGGTTGTCAGTCAAGCCCTGGCTCTGGCTCAGGTGTCGTTGTGTCCTTGGACAGGACACCTCCCCACATTGCCTACTGATGGTGGTCAGAGGGCCCGGTGGCGCCAGTGTACAGCAGCTTTACTTCTGTCAGTGAGCCCCATAACAGTTGAGGCTACAATATAGCTCCCCATCATGATTGTGTGAATAATTTTAGTGTAAAGCACTTTGGTGAAGTCTCCTGACTTGAAAAAGTGCTATATAAATACAGGCCGTTTACCATATGGACATACTTTATATAGTCCAGTTACTGTTCCTGTAGAAACAGGTTTGGCTGAGATTCCTACTGTTGCATGATGTAGCAGCAGTGAAGAAAGACTCACCCAGAGATCATGCTCAGCGTAGTCGAAGAGGAGCCACACCTTCCTGTCGCTGTGGGACAGGAACACTTTCTGAAGCGCGATCACGTTCGGGTGCTTCAGTTCTCGTAACAGCTGGAAGACACAGCAGAAGTATGTGAAGAATCTGCAGGATAATTATTACTCTTTGAAAGTATAATTATTTACATATTTGTTCAAATATCTACTTGTGTGAAGACAATGGATTTACTTAGAAATTTGACATCTTTTAATTTACCAGAAGTGAACCATTTAACCCGTGGAAAGTAAAGGTAAAAAATGCTGGTGAAGATTCTCAGTCATCCATAATTATTGCAAAAAAGTTAAAAAACAATCCACTGGACGTTGTTTCCAAGTTTAAAGGAAGCTTTTTCAATTCAAAATGTCAGGAATAGCGTTGAGTTTAAGGCTTTATAGAATTGAACATGCAAATTGAACCTTTAAAGCTTCAAACTCTATTTCTGACATTTTGAATTGAAAAAGCTTCCTGGATGGGATATGAAACATCTTCAAACTTGGAAACAAAGTCCAGTGGAGTGTTTTCTTACTTTTTTGGAAAATAAAGGTATAAATCGGTTCAGTCTAATGTGGCCAGTGACTTCTGACATGTTTTTATGCAATAACTTCTGTTCTTCAATGTGTCTCTCTGCTGAGACTAGATGAGAGGATTGAAATATTAAACCTCAGAAGTAAAGCAGAGTAAAAACTGTGTTCCATTCACTGCTTCCTCCGTTTAGGCGTGAGTTAATAACAAGCCCAAGCAGCAGAACAAACAATAATCCCCACAATCCTAACTTGCACCTGTTCTTTCACATCATGCAGACATACTGTCTGCTTCTTCTCTAACTACAGACCCTGTGCCTGAGAACTTTTGCTCTGGCTTCAGTTTTTACCTTCAGGATTTAAACTCTTTCCCATAACAAAAACTGCTGGTGCCCAGATTGTATTAATTTACCCTTAATATGCATTTCCCAGTTTAAAAACAGGTAACATTTTACAAGTCTAAAGGTGTGATATGCATCTGTATACAAATATATTTCGACTAATAGACAATGACTTGTTTTTGGCAATCTATTACATAAAGTTCAAGAACCTTTAGTAATTGTAACATAATGTGAAAGGACAGCTTTGTTTTTAAAATGTTACGGTAAAATGCTACAAATTTTTTTTTAGCAGAAACCTAAAAACATCATTTAGTTGCATCTTTTTCACCAGAATAATACATTTTGTACAAAAATAACACATCAACAGAATGTCGAGTGATTTTCAGGAAAAATCCAGTTGTCAGAACTTTGACCTTTCCTTCTGGTTACGATGCAATTGCCAGTATGAAGGGATTCTGCACCAACAGGATTAGAGACTCATGTCTCGGTCAGGTTTTCATAGATTTTAGCAGCTCTGTGATAAAGCTGAAAAATGGCTCATTTTCTTTATTTCAGTTTCTCAGATTAAAGCCAAAAACAAAAAAAAAGAAGCACAACGAGGGTGAAGCCTTTGAGCATTGGTGGCGGCTTAAGAAAGGAAAGGAGTCCAGAAGCCATGCAGAGATAGCTGCTTTCCATCTTGATAAGTAAGATAAATGTTTGCTAAGGCTAACTAAAGTTAGTATTGGCGAATGGTTGGAATGAAAGCGAATGAATGCACCACTTACGTGCTGGGAGGAGTGAAACTCATAGCTGTTAACTTTACTCTAAGATCACAGAGCAAAGAATGAACACCCTGATATTTAACTGCTGGAGTGAAAATTAAATCCCAGAGGGGTGTGCTGGTGAAGATTCCCAGTCATCCAGGTCATAGTCATTCCAAAAATAGTTAAAGAACAATCCATTTCACTTTGTTTCAAGTTTGAAGACGTTTTGCGTCCTATCAAGAAGCTTTTTCAGTTCAAATTGTCAGAAAATGCGTTGAGTTCGAGGCTATATAGGTTCAATTTGCATGTTTTCTATGCCAAAGAGTTACAGGTTTTATAGAGAGGACAAAAAGCCTTGTTTTTGTTCAGAAAACATACAAATAGAAATGGTGGAATGGGTCCACCCCTTTGGAATGGGAGTCATTTGGCTTCTGTTGTTAGCCTGAAAAGACCCATACCTGTCTATGTCTCTGAAAGGGGGGTCATTAAAGGGAATTGTTGGTCTGGCTGAATAGACAAAGTCTTCTCCTCCCTTGTAACGGGGGGTTGTGAAGATAGCAGGAAGGAATCAACTCAATCTCTGAATTGTAGGTTTTTGAAATCTGAGTCCACTCCTTCTGTTTAAGGTTTGTTTTTTTCTTTCTTATATAGATGACTATCCTTCACGCCCCACCTAAACCACCTGTCTTCTTCGTGCAAAATGTGAACATTCTGGTCCTAAAAAAACCCAAACAGCTCATTTGTTGCTAAGGCAATATTGGATGCAAACAATGCACTGCAAAAAAAAAATCAAATCAAAATTAGCTATTTTTCTTAAAATGAGGGCAAAGGCAAATTCATTTGTATAGCACAATTCAGTACAAAGACAATGCAAAGTGCTTTACATGATTAAAATACAGGAAAATAAAACAGAATCAAAGCAAGTAGGAAAAATAAAAAATAGAAAAATAAACAAAAAAAATTAAAAATGCAGAAACGAAAAAGAATATTAAAAACAGTTGGATTAAAAAAAATA